GGTGAGAAAGTGACTGAAGCAGAGACACTAGATCAGGGCCAATAATATTGAAAGTTGCAAGACACATAGTGAGGAAAGAAGGCTTAGAGAATTTGACATACGCTAAGCATATCGAAGGCAAGAGGGATGGGCGAAATAATGAGTAATCTCCATAATGAGTTTGTATAAATAAATAGCAGAACATGGACTGGGAGGGTTAGTAAGATGATAAACATTGCTTAGAGCAACAAAGGATAGGAAGTTGTGGAGTGTCATGATTGCCCAACTTCTTAAGGGACACTGAATATAAAAGAAGAAGTACTGAATTACTTGTTAAACAGTACAAATCAGTTGAGGATTATTTACATGGTGGGTACTAATATTCCTAGTTATTGTTTTACGAGTCCAAATAAAGATTGGACTTGGGTTTTTATATGTCATGCAACTTTGTCAAATGTTGATAATAATAATAATAATATTAATAAAAGAATATTGAAGTTCTGTAAAAATTGTAAGTACCAAGAAACAAATGAATTACCAACATGGCTGGTGCTAACTTCATTGCACCTACTTTGGTTAACATTTTTCACTGACATAAAGTGGAAAGATTATATTGAATCAATTGCTGAGTCTACTGCTAGGAAAGTTTTTTTTTTTTTTTTCCAGAATCTATCTTATACATTTATAAGTCTACCATTTGGCATGGTATTGATTATTACTGCCATATCTGGTCTGGTGCTTCTGTTATGTATTTAGAGATTCTTGATAAAATACAAAAAAGTATCTGCAATATCATTGGTTCTAACCTGATGGAAGGCAAAAAAGTTTCTCTAAGATGATTAGAAAATAGCAGTTTTGTTTTGGTGTCATTAAAATTAACAAGCCATTACTTGCTCCAGTTGACAATAGATTGTTGGTTAATTTTAGATCAGCTGCCAATTTGACCTTATCAACCCAATCAGAATAAACATTATACACACACACACACACACACACACATGAGCTTCAGAGAATGGATTGGCAAAAAGACAAAATTTATTAAGCACTACAAAGGACAGGAAATCTTGGAGAGCCCTGATTGCCAATGTCCTGAAGGGATACAGCACATAGAAGAAGAAGAAGAAGAAAGTAAACAATAATTATACAAGTGGTGGGAGTTGAAAAATTCTTAGCCCAAAAGCAATTCCAAAATAAATGCCAATGTTGGGCTTGGTATGAGAACTTTTCAGCACCTCCTCGTATATGCAAATTGCAAAGGTACGCCAAAGGAATTTTCACAGGTTTTATAAGTTTTGTTTAATTGAGCTGAAAATCTCTAATTGCATACGAGACACAAATTATAATTAACTATTATTACTTGGAATTTCTTTTTGTAGTGAATTTCTTCTACAGTAGGTTGAGGAAATTATTCTTCAGAATAATAGTTTTAAAGGGTTGGGTTGTGAGGTGTTGCAAACAGTTTTATAGAGCAAACAGGGTGGTGGCCACAAACTAGGATTCTCTGGTTTAGATGGCACTGTAATTAAGTGTGGCTTTGAGTAAACAGGCTGGGAAAACAATTCCAGCTTCTAATTTCTGAAAAAGTTAAGTTCTCTCCCAAAAGAACATTTATTTATTTATTTATTTATTTATTGGCAATTTATTTTTTATATGTTAAGATTATATATTTACTTAATTTAGCACATCATTATGACAGATAGCAGTTATAGAGTTGCTACACAGGTGATCACCTAAAGAGTTTTCTCCATACAGCTGGGTTGGAATCCAGAGAGGTATTCATTTAAGTATAGTGTGATTTAAGCAATTAAACATGGTGGGGCCTATCCCACACCATTATGACTGGTGGTGGTTCTTCTTTTATATGCTGAGTCCTTTTAGAACATAGTCGATCATGACCATCCACATCTTCCTATCCCATATAGCTCTTAATAAGTTTCATTTTTTTTGTTATTTCTCCCAAACCCTGTTTTACCATCCATTTACTCAAGGTCATCAAGTATGTTACATGTTGCTTTCCACTGTCCTTCTTTTCCTCAATATGGCCTGGAAAATTAAAGTCAACTGCAAAGCAAGTAGCCAGTAACCTAAAGAGAGTTCCACAAGTGAGAAGTGTGAGAAAAGAAACTATTAGCATAGAATTTACAGTTACATCTAGTCAGCTCAACTGTAAATTGGTGAGATCTTGACACCAGTCTAGTACTGTGCTTAAATTCAAAGCAAATTAAATTCAATTTAAATTTCAATTTCCAAACCCTTCTCCCTACTTTTGAGCCCCAGAAATTTCACCTACCTCTTCTTGATGTTATGTATAAGTTTCCTTTTTGTTTCGATTTTCCTTAAAACTTTGATGTTGCTCATATGTTTGAACCATGGTATCCATAGCATTTTTCTGTAGAACCACATTTCTGTTGCTTCAGTTCTCCTCTTCATCTTTGAGATTGTCCAGCATGCACTGCCATATAAGGGGGACAGATATCACATAATCAATAATTTTTCCTTAGTTTCTAACAAAATTTTTCCTGTCTCTTAATACTCAGCTCAGCATTTTGAATGCATCTTTGGTCATCCCAATACGTTTTTAGGTCTCAGTGTGGAACTTTCCATCCTCTGTTAGAATATTTCCCAGATATTTAAATTTTAACACTTGTTTGATTTTAATATCCCCCATTTGTAATTTGGGGCTCACTCTTTTCCCTATAACCATTCATTCTGTCTTTTTGTAGTCTATACTTAGTCCTTTCTTCTTTCTTTCTTACAATACCTTCTGTAGGATCTTTTGTAGTTTCCTTTTCATATCTGCTATCAACATTGTGTCATCTGCAAACCTTATGTTGTTAAGATTGTTGGCACCAATAATGAATTCATAATGGTTATAGGGTTGATACACCGGTGACCATCTAAACAGTTTCCTCCACACATCTGGGTTGAAAGCCAGACAGTTATTCATTCAAGTATTGTGTAGGCAAGTAGACCTAGTGGAACCTATCCCACACCAAATCAAACCACAACTGATGGACATTGTCAATGATTCCACCGGGAGAACCCTGTGACCTATTTGTTAAGCTTACACTACTTACATATGTATCATTGTACATATCTTTGTTGTTGTTATCCCCACATTTCGTCTGTTCTGTTCTCCGCCCTTCATTAGGTGTATGTTGATTTGGGCAACCTAAAGGGAATTTCAAACTGAAACCTTTATTTAATCTATGGGTCGGGGGGAGACAGTTCTCATTCCACTGCCCATGTCTAGGAATATCTCAACTAGTTCTTATTTTAGCACTGCTCATCTATTGCTCACACTGTTTCAACTAATTCCAACTACAAACTGCCTGGCCCAGGGATTGAACTCACATTGAGTACTAAAATAAGAACTAGGTGAGATATCCCTAGACATTGACAGTGGAATGAGAATAGTCTACTCCTGTAGATTAAATAAAAGGTTCAGATCAGAATTCATTGTAGGTTACCAGATTAACATACACCTGATGAAGACCCGAGACGTTGTGATAGAAACAACAAAGATCAGGACAATAGTCTACATGTAAACAATGATAACTCCTCATCCCATAAATTTATGTAGAACTTTAGTTCCGCACATCATTGGCATCAATTGCATGATCAGGTGGAATCGCAAGGTCGCTGCACAGCTGAGCATCTGATCCGTTCCCTCCACATATCTGGGTTGAAAAGTGGCAGAGGTATTCATTCAAGCGTAGTGTGTTTTGGGCAAGTAGACCTGGTGAAGCCTAACCCTCTCTAGGTTAAACCACAGTTGGTTTCCTCCAAAATAAAGGTTCATCTTGCATGCAAATATGTGACTATTAGAAGAAACCTACAACCAGTCCGTTAACTTCAATCAAGGAACCAATCCACCCAGTATCATCATTGCACTGACTCCATATATATGGAACCCACTCTATCCCATTGTGCTAGAGGGTCAGTCATCCTACAAGAAGGTTCATCTACCCTCTAACAGGTCTTGCTTTTAATCCTGCTGAGCATCTAGTCACGCTTCTAACCAGTAAGACCTGACGGGAGAACTGACTTAGTCGCCAATAACCCATCCATGCGGGATTTACATGGTACCAGTAGCAGTTGGAGGATATGTGGTTTGACCTGGAGATGGCCTCCACTGGGTCTTCTAGTCGGCCACATGTCCGCAAGCAAGATGAACCTTCAATTTGGAGAACATCTGATGAGTATCAAATTTTCCAACCAATAAACGGGAGTTTCAATGAAAGGGTTGATTGGAAAATGATTAAAAACAAGTTTTCTAAACAACAAAACCTCAATGAAAAATAAATGTCCATTTTTTAACGTTTGTTACGGGACCAATAGAGGATGTCGACCCCACAAGCTAATTTGTGTTCGAAGAAAGGTATGAACAGCCAAGACAACGAGGAGACAAAGGCGAAGGTTTATATTTTACCAAATGTCAGTTTTATTTTCCTAAAACAACTTGCGTTTTTGTACAACTAAAAAGATTTGCTGGATGAAATGTCAGCTTCGGGGAGATTGGTCCGGTAATCTTTAGTGAAGCCGTTGGTAGGTAAGTTGATAGTCGATCGGTTGGTTAGTTGGTCGGGCTTTGGGATCAAGTGATTGAAGTGTGGACAGACTAGACGTGTCGATGACGGGAAGTTAAGGTGTGGTTGTCCTGGTTATGTCGACGGCCGGATTGGACGTGTCGACGACAGGAAGTGGAGTGCGGTCGGGCTGGTCGTATCGACGGTCAGACTAGACGTGTCGACGACGAGAAGTTAAGGTGTGGTTGTCCTGGTTATGTCGACGGCCGGATTGGACGTGTCGACGACAGGAAGTGGAGTGCGGTCGAACTGGTCGTGTCGACGGTCAGACTAGACGTGTCGACGACGAGAAGTTAAGGTGTGGTTGTCCTGGTTATGTCGACGGCCGGATTGGACGTGTCGATGACAGGAAGTGGAGTGCGGTCGGACTGGTCGTATCGACGGTCAGACTAGACGTGTCGACGACGAGAAGTTAAGGTGTGGTTGTCCTGGTTATGTCGACGGCCGGATTGGACGTGTCGACGACAGGAAGTGGAGTGCGGTCGGACTGGTCGTGCCGACGATCGGACTGGTCGTGCTGACGGTCGAACTGGACATGTCGACGACGGGAAGTTGGTCAATATGCTGGGCAGGAACGTATCGGTGATGAGCAGCTGGTCAATAGGCCGAGCAGGAACGTAATAGCGAAACGGGAGTTGAAATGGTTGCCCCCTGGCCGTCTACTTCAACGATTCGGATGAATATTCGGAGATAATCCAACACGAAGTTTGGAAACCTCCTGCCTCCTGACCATCTGCTTCATGTTTAATGGACATGTAACAGCTGCTGGACGTATAAATGTGCATTTAATGCTTCATTGCGTTTTAAGAACTTTAAATGACTATGGATGCGCGGTGGAGTAATGGATAGCGGCTCGGATTGAGGAAACGGAGAGCCTTACACCGTCATGAAGAAGAACAACAATTTTTCTATTGACCAACACAGGGATTACAGACTAAGAGCCACTAAACAGGAAACAAGGGATAAATCTCTACACCTATTCTAAAGACTGGAAAGGTGAGTGAACCGGACGATAGGTAAACCTATCTACTCCTAAGGAGGAAAAAATGTAGATAAATAGTAAATAAAAGTATGTCTTTAAATAAAAATGATTTAACAAAATCGAAAATATTCCTATGAAGTCCTTCAAACGTCAGACTATAAATAAATGTTCATTTAAAAATATACATAAAAACAAATATCCATTTTATAAAAAGAAGGAAAAAATTAATATGATGAAATGTCAATCTTCAGTGAGGGTAGGAAGATTCCAAAAATTAACAAGGTCGGCAGACTTTTTTGTGTGTGTGTGTGTGTGTGTGTGTGTGTGTAAACATTTGCTGCAGTAGACTCATCTACTTTGCACTGGTTAGTTGTCTCAAGATGTTTACGATGCAAGGAAACTAAAATATTTAGAAGGACGGGTAATGATGTCCTAGTTACAAAACAACTTTCACTATTTTGCAATCTCGGTTTAAAGCATCAACCAATTGGTTAACTATTGGCTGGTGCTTCTCAGGAAATCAACCTAGATTTATGTTGCTTGAGAGAAGACGACAACGAAGAAGACAAAAAAAAATAAAGAAGATGAAGAAAAAGAAGACGAAAAAACGTAAAGAAAGATGAAGACAAGGAAAATGAAGACAACTGAGATGAAGAAGACAAAGACGACAAAAGAAGAAGACCAAGACAAAAGCAAAAACGAAGAAGAAGAAGAAGAGGAGGAGGAGGAGGAGGAGGAAGAAGAAGAAGAGGAAGAAGAAGGAAGAAAAGAAGAAGAAGAGGAAGAAGAAAAAGAAGAAGAAGAGGAGGAGGAAGAAGAAGAAGAAGAGGATGAAAAAGAAGTGTATTTTTCAGTGTGCCCACGTTGATACAGAATGTGACACAAGGTCAGTTTAAAGTGGGTTTAACGACAATACCATGGAAAAATTGCCCAAGCCCCCTCAGCACTTTCCCTTTTTAAGGACGCCTCAGCCACCGGGTAATGACCCAGCCCCCTCCAGAAGAATATAGGTACTGCCCGCGGTGATGAGCCCCTGGAGCTTGAGCTTAATATTATTTTGAAACTAACTCGGCAAACGTGCCAGACAAGAGGAGAAAGAAGAAGAAGAAGGAAGAAGTAGGAAGAAGAAGAAGAGGAGGAGGAGGAGGAGAAGGAGAAGAAGAAGAGGAGGAGGAGGGGGAGAGGAAGAAGAAGAAGAAGAAGAAGAAGAAGAAGAAGAAGAAGAAGAAAGACTAGCTGTGAAAGAACAGGATACAACAAAAATATTTTTTTATTCTATGCCGTCATTCTTGACGTTATGGATAAACTAGTAAGATAAATAAAGAATTATAAGGATCAAATGACAAAGAGTTGAAATTTCTAAGGCACATAATGAGGAAAGAGAGCTTGGAAAATCTGATACTCCCAGGACAGATTGAAGGCAAGAAGAGCAGAGGAAAACAACACATAAAGTACCTATCGAGCTTGAGTAAATAGATGGCGGAACTGGGTTTAAGTAGAGATAACAAGAAGATAAAATTTATTAAGAGCTACAAAGGTCAGGAAATTGTGGAGAGCCATAATCGCCTACGTCCTGAAGTGACACGGCACATAGAAAAAGAAAAAGATTCTGCAATATCCCCTCCTTGTATACTATGTGCCATGTTGCTATTATACAAATATTTCTTATTTCTACCTTTCAGGGGCACCTCAATGTGGTGAAATGTTTAGCAAGCTTGTCTCACTAGAACAATTACGACTGAGTAGTGAGTTCGATCCTCACTGGGTGCACCATGTGACACATCTAACCTACGCTTAGAAAATCGCCTTATTTCTGCTTATCAATCAGCATTACACATTAGTATTACTATTTCACATATATACAAGGGTGTGCTGAAAAGTTCTTGGACAGAAAATTGTGGAGAGCCATGATTGTCAACTCCCTGAAGGTACACGGCGCATTAAAAAAAGACGAAGAATCAAATTGTAAACGAGAAAAAATACAAGAAAATAAGCGCAAAAGAGTAAAAATCTAGCTAAACAACACGGGAGAAAGTGGCTAAATACAATGAAAGCGGAAGAGAAGGAAAGATGTCCAAGAAATTTGGTAAGGAAAGACTTAGAGAGGACATCAGCATGTTTCCTTTCTCTCGTTAGAAAGAAATTCATGAAACGCGAGAAACAAACAAGGAAATCACATTCACACAAGAGAAAACCAGTTTAGCTTCTATAACGCATTTATATGTACACGTCGCAGAGGGAACGTAATCATACACAATGTATGATTTTGTTATACAAGTCAATATCCTCACAATAAAATTGGTATTGACCAACCGATGGTGATAAAATACTTTGCATAAGCAATATATCATATGAGGTGCAGTTTCTGCTTATATCTTTCCTTAATAAAAGATGAAAATAAATAAAATATCCTATTATAATTTTGCTTGTCTCTCCTTTCGTTAGTTCGCACGACCGTTACGACCTGACAATACTTCATAAATAATGGGCTATTCCGTTTTGAGCACGTGGAAAGAGGGGAAAAGGCACTACTTGGTTTCAGTGAGAAAAGAAAGAAAGAAAGAAAGAAGGACGTGTTTAACGTCTTTTGTCAATACTTCATAAATAATGAACTATTCCGTTTTGATCACGTGAAAAGAAGGGGAAAGACACTACTTGGTTTCAATGAGAAAAGAAAGAAAGAAAGAAAAAAAGAAAGACGTGGTTAATGTCTTCTGCCAATACCTCATAAATAATTGACTATTCCGTTTTGATTACGTGAAAAGAGGGGAAAAGACACTACTTGGTTTCAGTGAGAAAAGAAAGAAAGAAAGAAAGAAAGAAAGAAGGACGTGTTTAACGTCTTTTGTCAATACTTCATAAATAATGGACTATTCCGTTTTGATTACGTGAAAAGAGGGGAAAAGACACTACTTGGTTTCATAAAGAAAGAAAGAAAGGGAAGATAGAAGTGTTTAATGGCTGTTTCAGTGAAATGGAAAAGTTACCAATTTCAGATCTTTTCATTTCTTGTTATTGCAATATTTTACGCTCAAGTATTCAATGATTCGATAGGGGAATTTCTACGGATATTTTATTGTCGTAGAACTTGCCATGAGCTTACTCAGTCACTAACTGAAGAATTAGAATTTATCAGAAATTTAAAATAGGAAAACTGTGTAATTTTCCCGAGTTAAAACTTGTTGATGATACTTTGTTTTGGTGGGCGTCACATTTTAACACATTGCAAAAAAAATTACGTACAAAAAATAGAACAGTAAATCGATTAAAATCCATGTAAGAGACTTTGCAACCCTATCATTTGTGTCTCTAAAATCTTGTTTTATGTACCTTGTCCCCTCAGGAGGTGATCGATCATGTCTCTTCTCAGCCTCTTATCCCTCAAAAATCTTAGCACACGTTCCATCATCCATTCACACGTTCGTCATGTAGATGGCCAGCTGCTTGACTCTGTCTTTTACCCTCGATATGCCCTGTGAGCGTCAAGTTCTCCAAGCCCCCCTTTTTCTGTATGTGTCCAAGAAATTTCAGCTGTTTCTTTCTTATTCTGGGTATACTAGTCCTGATCTGGAGTCTCAACTTCATTCACTTTCTCACCACCGTAAAATTGCCTCCCTTTGCTTTTTCTATAAATACTTTTATAGTAATTGTTCGGATGAGCGCTTCTCTATGGTACTTATACCTTATGAATTTAAGCGCAGTACTAGACTGACGTCGAGGTCTCATCAATTTATGGTCGAGTTGGCTAAATTCTGTGCTGACAGTTTCTTTTCTCGCACTTCTCGTTAAAAACCTCAACGATTAAATAATCATGTAATTCAAATTTCGTAGACCTGACTGAAAAGCGTTAGACGTTGTTGTTATGTTTTCCGTTATAAGGTTTTACGTAATCGACTTAGCTAACCCTATACTAAACCAGTTTTAAATTCAGAATTGTCCTTCTCCGGGACTGGTTGACAACAATGGATGTAGTGTTCAGTCTACTGTATTTAACACATAGAGAAGAAATAGAGTTATAACTTTCCCAACGGTATTTGCGCGAAAGTGAATGCAATAATTCACCGATTTCTCATTCCAAACCGCTAATCATTACATCACTCGCACTTCCGCCTGCCTGCGCAGGGTTTGTTTATTTTTGTCATATGTACTTTGTATTCAAAGTCATCCCGTCCTGGGTATGACGATAAACTACACCCGCATCCTGGGTAAGATGATAAACTACGTCCAGCAGCAAGTCCTCTAATCAGGAGGTTTTGAGGAGCGTGGAACCATCTCTTAATTGCTGGTGTTCCCAGACCCACCCTGACCCGGGGTGGTAGCACCTGTTAGGGTCCCAACTATGGGTAAATAGTTAACCCCAAAACTGAAGTCAAAATATTATGAAAGTGTAAAAATATGTTCTAATACCAGAAATACTTCGTAAAAAAATATTACCAGCAATAAAACTTTGAAGAAAAATTATTACCAACTATTTATTGTGACATATAAGGCCTCTTCGCGAGGTTTCTATAATCAGTGTTCCGCAGAGTGGTGTAATTGACCTCACACCCAAACTTTAGTCGACAATATGTTCCTCCGCTACCCGAATTTGAGAATTCAGAGTTTTCGCTCTCTTACACTCACTTACTCTTAGACTCTCTTAGACTCTTTGCTAACTGCAAAAATTTAAATCCAGTATCAATCGCTATCTACTCTCCTTCTGATTACTCTTTTTTCTTTCTGCTTATCATTAATGTTTCCTGTTCCTAATTCTTTTACATCCTGCAGGCCCTTGTGTTTTAGTGGCATTATTATCAGAAAGATTTATTTTTTCGGTAGGTAAGGAAACTGGACAAATGATATATTCAACAGCTCGAGCGATCAGTGAATCTTGGCTGACGATCAAAGTCTTTTCAATGGACTACCCAATGACTTTAACTCAAGACTAATTTTATTCCTTTTTGACTCTTTTGAATTCATGTATATATGTCTTTAAAGATACAAATGATATATTTAATAGGCATACCCATGTTTCTTTTATTTTTATTTTATTATTGTTTGGAATTTAGACGTCCAGGTTTTCATTTTGAAAAAAAATATTACCAGCTATACATCTAAAGAAAAATTACCAGCAATACATTTTTGAAAAAAAAAATATATTACCAGCAATACAAATCTTCTCGGCATTAAATAACCCATTGAGGTTGATATGCCGTAAAACAAACCAAACCAAACCAAAAGTCATCGTGGCTGAGTATTTTAGTCTATATAAGAAGTAAACCCCATTTCCAACATAATTACTATCCACATACATACCACATCTATACACTCTCAAACTTTATTTCCTACCCAATAATCGACAATACTTACAAACATGCTAAAAAGATTCCACAATGCAACACACGCCGTTTAAAATCAAAGTGCCTATTGGTGAGAATTCAACATTGTCATGCGAAATATTTGACCAATCAGAGAAATCTAAAACCTAATTTTTCTCGATCCTACTTTCGGAAAAAATCTCTTATAAAAACCCACAGATTTCGACTTTCACGAACAAAGATGCGACTTTCTCCAAGCTGTTCAAGCACAAGAGATAACTTGGCTACATAGCTTTTCCCACCGTGCTAAAAGAAACATGCCGGCGACTGCAAACGAACCATCTCCAACAGCAACAGCTCGAACGATCAGTGAATCTTGGCTGACGATCAAAGTCTTTTCAATGGACTACCCAACGACTTCAACTCAAGACTAATTTTATTCCTTTTTGACTCTTTTGAATTCATGTATATATGTCTTTAAAGATACAAATGATATATTTAACAGGCATGTACATGTTTCTTTTATTTTTATTTTATTATTGTTTGAAATTTAGACGTCCAGGTTTTTAATATAAAAAAGACCTGCACAACCGAATTTCCTACACGTGTTGGCCTTGTTCAACCTGTTGATTGTGTACTATCTCCCAGAAACTGTAACTTCTACTTCTTTTTCTTCTTATTATTATTATTAAAATGCGTAGACATTCTCATCCTTCAAGTCAAGTAACCTACCTTGTACAAGAAATTACCGTATTTCTTTGTGTATAATACGACTTGAGTATAATACGAACCCGTGTTTCTGAAGCTAAAAATAAGAAATAAATTATATCTTTTAGTAAAATAAGTAGTAGAATATCATCTATTAAAATCTTAATTTAATTTTTATGATATTAAAGACTAGAAATGAACCGGATGTTTCGTCATTGCTTGTTTCATCTTCTAATTTCCGTTTCAAAACTTATTTTCGAATTTTCAGAGAAAGTTGCTAACTGGACATACTCGGTGTTATGGTAATTTACCCACACAGGCATGGACTTTCCCAGCTATAAATAGGAGCAGGTACTGCCTTTTGGAGAGGGAAGTTTCCAGCAATCAGCTCTGAGAGTCGGACTGAACATTCTTGCTGTAACACTTTCGTTTGTATATGTTTGTATTACTGTTTCTGTTAATATATTTGTTTAACTCAATTCCTCTCTTGTGTCTTTATTTCTGGCCCTACGAAGGCCACAACACTCGGTAATACATTTTAAGGTGTTAATTAATCTATCATTTGATTTGTTAATTAATCTATCATTTGATTTGACTTATTTATATTTCTATATCTTAATATACTATGAAAATAGTTTTTCATTTAAAAAAATAATCAAAATATAAATATTACTTTATCTTGTGATCAAAACTGTTTTAATTTTAAACATTACATTTATTCCCAAAGAACAAATATCATGTTATGTTATCAACACCAAGCTACTCTGTGTTTTATTACCTATAGTAGGAACACAAAAGGAAATTATCTATCTTCAGTTGAAATGAACTCACGTGGATCACGTGACGCCAAGTAATTGGCGTCATTTTATACAGTGACGAAAGTGGCCAGTCAGCTTTCAGGAGTCAAATCGACCAATTGCTTTTTTAGCTAGGATCAGCCTGCTGCCGCGGCAGGAGCTTACAAGTTCCTGGCGCTGTTTTCCTTTAGGAATATTTCTTCACCAGATATAGACTATCTCCTGTTAGTGGTTCTCATGTTGGGTAAAAACACATGACTCGCCGTTTTACTGTAAGGAATATGTTCTCGCTAGTGACATAGAAGATAAATCCGACCCACTTGAATCTCCATTGGGAATCTTAAGT